TTGCCAAGATTGGAGGCAGATGGGGTAACCTGGACTGACCCTTGTGCACCACAGTCAGGCTTCCTAATTACATTTCCATCACAATAATCTCTGCATGCTGCGTGCCCTTTGCTTTCTGACCTCCACTCTCTCTTTCTCTTTTCAGCCTTTCTTTCACTTCCTTTGTCCAAGCCACCGCTGCCTTCTGCCTCCTCCGCCCAATTTTCCTCCCCTCGCTCTTTCAAGTCTGCAACTGCTTCTCTCAACAATCCCTCCTAACAAAATCTCCACTTCCTTTCTCTTTATCCAGCAGGTCATCAAGAAGAAAAAAGTCTGCTCACCTTGATTGTTTTAGTTTGCAGTTTGAGACCATTGAGTGTATTGATGGCCTTATCTGCATCATTGGGATCAACATAGTTTACAAAGCCATATCCCAAACTCTGACCTGGAGAAAAAAAGATAGATGCACAGTGATGCTGTAGATTTTCAAAACCCACTTATGATGTTTTTATGAATGTGGACAGTGTTGTACCTGTTATCTTGTCTCTGACTAGCTTGCAGGACTCAATCTCTCCAATGCTACCAAACAAACTTTTGAACTCTTCCTGGGTCATGTTCTGAGGCAGATAGTTGACGATCAGGTTGGTTTTGCTGTCATCTGTGGAGCCATTGGTGCTAATGACTGGACCATTAGGCAGACTGGTTCCGCTTGGACCGTTAGACACCTGGGTTTCCATGGTGCTGATTATCTGCTGAGGAAGAGGGTGGAGTTTGACTCATACTTCACAACAACATACAAAAGGACATGGTGGTGGTATGGATATAAAAATAGGCATGTCTAATATTTAACATACTACAATGCATAGACAAATATAAGCCTTACATGCAACCATTCACACAGCCTGCCCACTTTGCTACCATCAGAACAAGAGGTCAGGAATCATCATTGCTAAAATGGAAATGGATACAGGGTCTGGTTTATGAGCGCCCCTCCTCCTTTTCACCCCATCTTTCTTCCTGTCTTGCTCCCTGCCTCTAGTTCTGCAGATGTCACAGTCCCTTCCTCCTTACTCCTCCCCCTCCTCTCTTCCAGGGTCAGACACCATTACATTGTTACATAGGGATGCATAATAGTGACAGTGGTGTCTGAGGATGGCAAGAAGCTGGGGGAGTTAGGGGAGACTGAGGTCAAGGTTTTTTTTAACCTTTATGTATGTATGTGTGTACATTTTTGTCTTTTTTTTTTTTTTACTTGCGGTTTTGGTTGTATTCTGTTTTTATATTGCTGTGCACATCGGGGCCACTGGGCTGGAGTCAGATTCCTTGCATTTTTTATAATACTTGGCAATAAAGTTTATGCTTTTGCTTATGGCTTTAATGCTACATTACATGAGAATATCATGAAAAATCTGCATATTTCTTCCTCTGACTTTAAGCTTTATTGTGGTCAACTGACATTTATTTTAGTAAGTGGAATAAAGGTGTGGGCTAGTGCACAGTGTAGTGTTTGTGCCTCTTGTGTTGCCCTGGTGTACACCACGTTGCTTAATTTGATCCACAGGGGATTCTCAAGGAACATCTGTGTGGTCAGAAATGAAACATCCTGCTCCACCTTCATTTGGGCATTCTCTGATTTGGGATCAATTTTTCCACTGTAAATGTACATGGAAAATCACTACACACTGTTATTTAGTGTAAACAAAACAAAACAATTCAAACTAAAGTGGTTGCTGTATTGTTGGCTAGTGTGATGACAATCTGTTTTAGAGGTATGATTAATGTTGCATCCTATTTTGTGATGCACATGTTGAATGTAAGGCTGAACAGTTGTATATTTTATTTCCATCCCAGTTAATTTTATGTTCAAACATCATCAGATTAGCTGTGTAACATTGCGATTTGTGGTACATTTCTGCCTATACTGTTTTGATGCATTACGTGTATTTCACAAACAGCCCTATATAGTATAAACATTTTAATGCATGTATCAAGGCCACAATGTAAAAGTTATGTGCAATTGTGGTTTTCAGCTGTTGCACATCTGATGGATGTTATGCATATGAATAGGACTAAATGAGTCTTCTCCAAAGTTCCTAGGATCTTACAGTGTAGTCCATAGCAACAAAGAGACTTAATTATTTAATCTTCCAAATTATTAAAGGGAAATTATATTAAAAGATTTTCCTGACTTAATGGAGAAATTCATGTCACTGAACCACATTATTTATAAAAGAAATATTTACCTGGAATATAACCCTTATGGCTTTTTGGATTATGTCCTCTAATAATGTATAATCAGCTTTACTTTTTAAAATACTCCTCCTCCCAGGAGTATTTTTCTTTATTGCTAATCTATAATGATTACTGACATAGATGAAACGTTTCTTTCAGGATGTGAATCTCATGCAATGTGAAAACATGAGCTTTCACAGTTCACTGTCTCTTGTAAATCCACCAATTTATTGCATTTCTATATGCTCTGATTCTATCATAATCACATTCATTTATTCTATTATATTTTTAAATCTATGTGCCATTTTAGATGTCCTCTCCTTTTGTACTGTCTGCGAATGGGTCTGTCTAACATGCCTTTCCCCCTCATCTTTGTAACCTGCCATCATGCTTTGAGCCTCACCTCGGCTCAGGTTGCCCAGGTAACGGCCCCTCTAAGACTGCATTGTTTCTAATGGCTAAATGGCTTTCTTACTGTAAGCTCAGTGTGTGTGTGTCTGTGCTTATTAGGAGCGGATATACAGGTCAGACATTTTCCCTCTGTGTATTAATATTATGGGCTTTTGCAGAAGCAGGGAATATCATTAAGTCACATTGATATTGACCAGGGGAAACGGAGAACAGCAACACGGTTATGACAGCCTTAAGAAAACACAACAAAACAAAACAAAACCCAAAAACATTTACACAAAGGGAGTGGCGTGGCGTGTAAAGAGTTTGATGCACCCATAGAATGCCAACTTGCATTATTTTATAAATGATGACATAAAAAATGTGTTGACAGAAAAGGTGGAATCAAACTGTTTTGTTATATTTATGTAATACATTGTTGTGTGATGTGATGTATCTGATTAAGAGAAATATCAGCAACACAATGTGTCCTAAATATGACAAAAGCATTTTGAAGGCTAAAAAACCAAAACATATTAGGGCAACTTTGACTCACCAACTGAAATAACCCTCAGCATAGCAGAAAACACATCCCCAGTGAACAGTGTGAAGTTATATAATTGTCAGACTCACTGAGTAAAGGCTGGACATGGAGATTGGCTGACACAAGCAGCAAGTAAAATAAAGATTTTCATGCATAAATAGAGAAGAACAGCCTGCTTTGAAATTCTTTGAAACAAACAGAAAAGAAAATCATAGAGGACTGTATCATCTTTGGGCTGTCATGTTTTATATTGTACACCAACAACTAAATTCAGTTTGGTTTGCAGTAACCCAATTACTATGACATAAAGAGACAATACATCATTGTGATGTTGTGGGAAGGCCTACAATAGCATTAATAATCACAGTCTGCCCAGAATACATCTAGTCCCGCTATACGCTACTGAAGACATTAAATGTTCACCTTGTAACCGTGATGTCCTGAGTACAAATATGCCCCAGGTCCTTTGTTGCATATCAATGCCTCTTTCACGCAACATTTCTCATCTTATTAACTATCCAATACGGATGAACACATCATTAAAATGATCTCTTAAAAATGTTCTTCTACAAGTGACAAAATATTCCAGTTGTTTGGGTAGCACTGCAATTTTTTAATTTTACACTGGGGTTCTGTGAGATCTCCCTTAATATTTAATGCACTGCATCAGCATCGCCTACACATGGTCCCAGACTTGCACGCAAACAAGAGCCCTGCCTCCACTGCTAAGCACACCTACACTGTATAATACTGAATTACAAAATGCAGAAGCATTATATGGCTAAATGTAAATGCAGTCGTGTTCTCTGATGTCTATAAGCAGATTTCTCAATTTCTGCTCTAAATGTAGCGCAGCACTAGAGGCTATAGAAGAATAACAGTTTCCCATTTGAAGTCAGTTTGCTACACACGTGTTACAGTGCATTTCTGGGGCATGCAGTGTCAGCAAAGAAAATGTAATGTTTGGTAACTTCAGCTTAGTGTTGAAGTTAATTCATTTGCTATATTGTGTTCATCTTTGTTTTTCATATATATATATAAAACACACACACACACCATCGTGTTTTCACAATGATGATAATACTTTCTTCTTCTTTTACTATATAACCTTGTCTCTCTTGTCCACATTATAATGCAGTAGCTATATAAAGATTTTTTCCCCTGAAAAGCATGAATCAAAGCTGAATGTTATGCTGAAGTGTAAATGAGCCTTCTAAATAACACAGATTACAGGATTATCCCAAACAAAGGGCATTAGCCACACTCTCTGCAGCTTAAGGGATCATGGTGGCAGCTGTAAAACAACAGGACGTCAGGAGTCATAGCTCATGTCAGCCCTGCTCTCAGGCTCCCCTTCTCTTCTCCGCTCGGAAGACTACAAATAAAAGATCTCTAAAAGATTTCAGCTCTCTGGCTGCTTTGATAAGATGGGAGCAGACCACGTCAAAGGCACTGGAGACGGATCTGACTTGCAGCGTGCGCGGCGCTATCCAGCGTGCTGAAAAAGGGAGTGGCCTTCGGGCGGTCTCCTGAGGCCACAGAGGCCCGTTAATACAGCAAAGACCACCGACTCTTTTTATTTATTTTTTATTTTTTAGAATTTCCAAACGTTTTAATTGGACTTGCCAAGAAAAAAAAAATAAACATTTAAGGCTATTTGCATATGGCAGCTGCATGTCTGAATCCCTCGATTTCTCTGTTTCCCTTTTTTTAAAAGGCAAGGTTTTTAAGTTCTGCAGGCATTCATGAACCGAGGCGCCTTTTTACTGAATAAACGTATTGAAACGACCGAACAAAAGAGCCACCCGTTCCTCTTCTTCTCTCTCGCAGAGGCTATGGCAGCACTATGAATATTAATGTAAACAGTGGCGCTTTGTGTCGTGGCCAGGGGCTGCAGGACTCTCCGGGAACAATGACTGTTACAGTTGCCAGCTCTAAGTCAAAAACGTCATGATAGGTCAAAAAAAAAAAAAAAAAAACACACTCATGGATGAGTGTTGTTCATTTTGATCGTTCTCCCAAATAAAATGAACTCCTATTTTTAGTGACATTTGTCATTCAAAAGCTGCGTAAGGTGGCCGTGACTCCGCCAGCGATAAGCATAGACTATATACGGCAAATGGCTACCATTATAAACAGAAATAAATAAATATTGACTGAGAAAATAGCCTAATGTTTCCACAACCCTCATAAAATGATCAATCAATACCTCAGGATTTATATACCCCGTACTATGAAATTAAATTATCAGCAGCTTTTGCCTAAAAGGGTGATTGTAATAAAATGTGGTCCAAGAGGTGCTGTCTTTCTTCCCTACAGGCTTTACATTTGTTGCTGATAATTACATGAAGTCATGGGCAAGAGAAGGTAAATCACCGCTTACATAACAAAATTGCATTTAACCTCTCATAAAAGTTAGACAGGTCAACCTACCATAAAGCCTTTTAATCTATTTTGCACAGTTTAAACATTTCCTAAATCACCAGCCAAAAAGGTTTACATTATAATTCAATATAGGCCCAGCAGTTTTTACTTAACAACTATTTAGCCTGATTTACAGCGATGGCCTCGGCTGATCTTGTCCTTGAATTGTGTAAGTGCCTTGGAAAGGTTATCTGACTCAACGCTTTTATTTGCTTGGCACTGCAGTACAGGAATGGGGGACTGCGGACCATGTGGAGGGGAGCCACAGCCTCTGTCGGTGTTACACTGCCTAGGCCTGCGAGGGACAATAGGTAATGTACAACAAAGAGAAAATAAAAGGGGCGTTGGAGATGTGTCAGGCGGACAGTTTGAGTCTCACAAATGATGAAACTAGGCGATCTCCACCTCCACTTTGCACAGTTCTTAGATGGGATTTTTGAAAGCTATTTCAAATTTAGCTAAATTTGATCTTAAAGCTTTTGTCATTGGACCTATTGCACCTCACATCTAGTTTCTTCTGCGTTTTATATAATGTATTTCGTGTTCTTACTATTATTAATCAGACACTTGCCATCCCAACATTTTATCATGTGAAACTAAAAGTCAAATTCTAATTAATACTCAAAACACAATACTTCAGTGTTTTTTGTATATCTCATAGAGTACGTAGTGTTTTAACACCTGCATGCTTGTTTATTATTTGTTTCCTGGCTTTTTAATCCAATGTATTTGTAATGTGTCCGGTCTTAATTGGTCTGCTTATGCGCTGTCAGCCTTAGACCATGTCTACAAGTACACTGAGGTGGACTAGGCCGTTTGAGGGTTTAAGGGCCTCGTTTGGAGCTTAAGTCCAGCAGAGACACGCCCAATCCGGTCCTCGGCACAGAACAAAGCTAATTTGCCACTGCTCGCATCTCCTTTTATCCGACAGTGTAAGCATGGCCATCTTGTGATGGTTGTGATAGTTAGAGAAAATGCGCTTAAAATGGAGATGTCCGTGTGCGTCCTCACTGTGCGGCCTCTGAGATTTCCAGCCCATTTACTCGGTTGCATCGCAACGAGAACCCTGAGGAATTTGGACTTTGTCTGATTCAATACAAACCAATGGGTGCGTAATCTCCCTCGTCCCCTCCCCCCTCCTGGAGTGACTCGACCCTTTTTTATACTTTGCCTTGCTGGATGGGCCCTCAGCCTCCGAGGCATGATGTTTTGTCTCCAGCATCCCCGTGCTGCACCAGGCATAGAAAGCCAGTGCCCCCCACCCTCACCCCCACCAACCCACCACCTCATCGCCTTCCTTTCCCTATGTCCATCGCTATAATGCTGCGGAATTTTTCAGCATTGACTCCCGTATTATTATTATTTACTACTTCGACATTTAGGCAGCTGGAGTGACTAGAATATTGAAATGTAAAGCCTGCTCTACCTAAAATGGTTGGATAAAGACTATCCATGCTGAGGATGACTGCAGACTAGAGCACAGCCGGCATGGCGCATCACTCAGTATGAGATTGGTAATTGCCACTTTCGATCTTTAATCTTATCATAATAATATGGCATTGCATGATGGACAAAAACACGGGCCACTAATCTCCTCCTCTGCTTTGGCTTGTGTGCATGCATAGCCATGAAGCTCTATGTAAAATTACATGTCTCCACTAAAGACATATTGGTGGGGAAGATGCAAATTAAATCTGTGTGTAGCTACATCACATGTGTACATGTAGATAACAACAAACACAAAAGGAATGAGATCCAGTGGTAGCATGCTGCCACAGCATCCGCTTCACAAACAGAAATGGAGAAATAGAGTCATACGTACAGTAACCATTCTTGACGTACAATGAAAGAAATCTAGGTCCTTCTTTGTACTGGTCTTGAAGCTGAAGACTGAGACTCTATATGTTCTTCGGCCTTTATGTTACACGGCCCTTGTGTTCTGTCAGGAGTCCAAATTAAAAAGAAAAAAAGAAAAAAAAGGAAAAAAATACAATCTTTGCCAAGGGATCTCAGCCCTCTGAGCTGGTAGGTGTCCTCTATAGGATGAAAATGAGGAGAAAGGGGTTTTCTACTGGATGATGATGCGGGAGAGCGGTCTCTCTGAGTGGCGTGGGCGATGGTTCAGAAAAAAAGAGAAGCAGTGATCCTCAGCAGGGTGTGTCCAGGGGAGGGTGTTCTGATTCTGCTGCTTTTGTGTGTAATTCCCTGCTCCTCTTGCAGTCTCCTTCTGTGCCTCTGCTGCAATGTTCTTCTTTTATGCGTCCTCCTGGCTGGCAGAGCGCGTTGCTGATTGGCTAATTGTACAGGGAGGGTAGTACATGGCAGCCATTGCAATGCGCTCCTCTCCCATTATCCCCTTCAGGAAAGATCACCAAGAGTCCCCCCGCCCCTTCCCTTTTCCATCCCTGCCCTTGCATCTCTCCACTCCCTCCTCCTCGCTGCCCTTCCTTTCTTCCTGCCTCCCTCTTCACACACACAAGCAGATTGGGGTGAATAGCGCTCCACCTGCACTTTCAGAACAGATGGGTGCAGCAGAAGACAGCGGACTTGTATCTCTTATTCCCCACTCTTTGCGCTCACTTCTTCCTGAGCACAGCCCCTTACATTCTCTCTTATTCTCCATTTAGGCCTGTTTGATGCTGACAGCAAACAAGTTCATTCCTTAGGGCTTTGTATTTGAGAATAAAAACGATTTTGAGCAGAGATCAGCAGTCTTTCGAAGTCCATGTTCTCTGCTGAAAATCACAGAATTACATTAAGGGAAAACACAAGATACGCAATAACTGGGTGTGAACTGTGGCTAGAAACAAAGCAAGAACTCCATAATAAGACTAATGAATGGATGATTCCTGGACCTCTCATATACAAGGCAGATGGCTAACTATAGGGTCAGGTGCAGACATGAGAATAACACATTAGATGCCTCCTGAATTAATTTATATTCATTCAGTGAAAAATGTGACCAGATGCTGCTGAATGATCTTTTTTTTCTTAGCTTTATGAACAGAAACATGTCCAGAAGTGATTTTTGCCTCACTTTATGACATCCCAGTATCTCCTTCTTGAGGAGTTCTCATCCCTCTCTGCCCACCTCCTGCTGTTCCCTCCTCTGTGGTGAGTGCTCACTGAGACATGCGGTTTGGGCTCATCTATAATGCATCCCCTGCCCCGGGACATCATGTGTGACAAATGACCTATTTCTGCGCAGACCCCCATAGGGCCTTGACCTGGGGGGGTGGGTATTTGTGCAAGTGTGCATAAATCAGTGTATATTTGTTTTTTCGTTTATGAGTCTATGGTGATGTGAAGAAATGATAAGGTGAAGACGTACTCTGTGTGTGGGTTGTTCAGTGGACAAGTGGTGCTGATGTGAGCCCTCCAACAACAAAACTCTACTTTGCTCTCCATAACTGACCTTGAGGAGTCCTCAGATGTCTCTGGCTGTGAGGAACGATGGTACAAGGGAGGAAAATGTTTGCTTTATTGACAGTGGCCACATGCTTTTGATGGATCTGGGGATGGACAGTCTATAATCAGATGACGATGTATAGAACAGGACACAAAGGTAACTCATTTCCTCATTCTGTGTATCTTATTGTTTTCCCGACCTTCCAGTCCCTCCTGTATACCCCCTCTTCCTCTCTGTCATTGTTCTGCAGCTCTCTTCCAGTCAAATTCTGAGCATGGCCCCTGTCTGATATTTTACATAATTGCTTACATAAGTAGCAAGCTCGACTCAGAGCTTGGATGATATTAGTGCAGATGAATATTGCATGAGGAAAGCACTCATTAAGCGTTAATATGAGGATAGAGATGGAGCCCCACTGTCAGTCTGTCTTAACCCCGCCCCCACCGTTCTGTCAAGCAGTGACTCAACTCAGCCTGGATGTGTTGGAGCTTTTGAGTCAATTTGTTAGAGAGAGAGGAAGAGTGTGCTTGTGTATGCATGCCCACATGTGTGTGTATTTCTGTCAGTGTGTATGAACGTCTGAGAAGAGACAGCGAGATTCGATCATTAGGTGCTTGTGTTTTTTCCATCTTTGTTTGACAAATAAAAGCGGCTCTTGTAACACAAAGCAGCCTGGGTCCGTCAACTGACTGCAGCCCCACTTACAGTTCACACTTAATGTGAATAAATGGGCTTAATTGTGGCCCCTCATTAAAGCCCTGGTTAGTAGCACAGCAGCTCAATCCTCCCCTGTGGGTAAGAGGGTATTTGAAATGCCTATTGTACATTCCTGATTCAGAGGATCAAGCATCGGTTTTGCTTAAAAGTCTTTTTGTTATTGTACTGATTATTTTCACATTGCTAAGGGTTCCTCCTGATTAGGAGTCTTATTGTACCAGTCCTTTCCTCTTGGCATATTGTGGAATGCTCCTTGGTGCCAGAGGGATCAACTCCAAGCTTTTATGAAATTCATTCATGATTTTTGAAGTTCATCAGCCCACAGAAGTAACATACAAATAATTGTATAATTACTCAAGAAAACCCTTTAGAGGGAACATAGAAGTGCACACATTTTGCATTGCATCCTTAATTTTAACTGTACAATTTTATAAATACAGCACTTCAGTAAGATCCATAGCTCAGAAGTGTGTGAATTTTCTAATTTGTTAAGTATTTGAATTCCAGATAGTGAATTTACAATGATACTGCAAAAACTCTTTAGGTCTGATTTTCTTAGCCTCATCTTTATTATTGTCATAGTCTTACGTCAAAATGAATGCCTGTTGCCATTGCCCTGCGGTAAGATAGTAGCTCTGTGTGTGTGTGAAAGAGAGAGAGAGAGAGAGAGAGATGAAGAAGAAGGAGAGGGGGAGAGTGGCACTACGACAGTACTGTATATCTGGGGGATGGGTAGGATGATTCAGCCTCGGGTCTGGTTAACTCTCCGCTAGGCCTGGCTCTTGGCAGTTCAGGGTTTTGTGGAATCAGCAATGAAGCCATTATAGTTTACAGGAAAGGATCCAAAATTAAATTAGCCTCTTTTTAAAAAGACATTTGTTCTTTATGGCAACTGGCCAAATTCAACCCTTTATGCATGTTTTTGGCTACTTTCTTGCGGTCTCCCTCTTGGGTTCACTCTTGCACTTTCTCTCTCTCTTCTCTTTTTCCATATCTTTCACTCCCTGCGTCTGTCTGGATGTGTTGTCTTTGGACTATTATTAGAGTAGACATGCTAGTGGGAGGAAGTCTCTAAAGTAGACGCTCTTGTCATCTTTTTATTTATGGATTATATTCTGCTTTCCATACGCCTGTTTATTTCTCTGTGTTCTGTTATGTGGCTTTTGCTTTCAGCA